CCCAGCTGAAGCCGCACCCCTATAGTTTGTTCTCTTTGCCCTCCAACGAGAGATGTAAAGCAGAGTATAAAACGCTGTCCGTTCCAGCCGGGCTGGGAGGCGACTGCAGCCGGCAGGTGGGCTACCCTCACCCGGCTGCTCTCGGACAGGGCGAGTTCGGTGGGTAAACGGGGTTGTTCTAGGTCGATGCACCCCTATTTTTATTATTTTATTTGCTTTGGACTCTCCACCGTGCACCGTTTTGGTTTTATTACCAATTATAAAACTCCCCATCGCATAGTTTTTATTTTCAATGTATGTAGAGTGAGTGGGTGTGTTTGTCGCGAAGCTCTGGTAAAGCTTGAGCCGCTCTCTCCTCCCCGACGCGCGGTGTGTGAGCGCTGGAGGCTGTGCTTGAGGCCTTGCTGGAGGCGCTTACTGCTGGAGGCTGGCAGGGAGCCCGGCCACCAGGCGCGCGCACCCTGCCACTGCCACTGCAGCCGCTCCCGCTTTTTCTGCGCGTTACATACTCGTTATAGCCCCACGCCTTCCCGTTCCCCCCAGCGGGCCCTCAATTAAAAGGCCCCCTCCACCCGCGGGTGCGCGCACACCTCGTCACACGCTAAATACATTTCAAATTGCGCGCTCGTGTGTTGGTTTTCGAGCCGCTTTTGCACGCTGAACTGCCGCAGCAATTATACTTGAACAAATCGCCGTCAGACTGCCCTTAACGGCGCGCGCAACTGTACTCCTCCACCTGTGCCTCAGTCAAGAATGCAACATCAGATCGACGTCGCAACTGGATTTCGTCGGTTTTGAGCCTAAAATGACGTCGAATAGACGGAATGACTTTCCAGGAAAGTTTCTATAATTATTTTTTTTCCAGAAAACTTTCGGTGTTTATAAACGCCCTATGCGGGGGCCCTAGTGCAGCACCCACACACACTCTGCCCCACATCAAATTCAGGGCGCACCGCGGCGTCATGCGTGAACCGGAGACTGGATGCATAGTCATGAGGGAGGGTTTGGGTGCTAGCAGGGAGAAGCAAAACCACGAAGAGTTCGAGCGCTCCGGACCCCGGGCCCTCCCTCTACTGGTTAGCCAAAGTTTGGAGCTCGAACGGGAAACACTAGCAGCAGCAGCGTTTTGGACGAGGCATCGGGGCTGTCCATGAATAGTCCACGCGGTAAAGAGGGGTCATTGTTCTCGCCGAGATTTTGAAATGTCTGGAATCACCACAATACGGGATGCACCCATGACCCGGCTGTCCTGGGAGTGATAAGAGACTCACCGTCCTGCTGAGGTGCGTGAAGGAGGGCGGCCCGAGCGGCTGCCCCAGGGGCTGTCCCAGGGGCTGCGCGGCCGCGGGCTGGTCCCGGTGCTCGCGGTGGTCGCAGGGGCAGCGGCACTGGTAGGGGCACGTCGGCCGGCCGGCGCGCTTGCCGCGGTGCGGCTGGAGGTCGTCGTGCACGTCAGAGTCGTCGCCGTCGGCCACCTCGAGGTTCTCCCACGGCGAGCTCGGCGGCCGGCCCGAGCAGCCCGCCACGCCGTTCCCAGGGGACGCCGGGTGCTTGGTGGGCGCCGGGTGCGGCAGCCGGTCGCCGGACCAGCTCACGACGTTCACCTCGGACGCGCAGTGCCGCGGGTAGCCGATGAGCCAGCACCGGTCGCCGCCGTTGAGGCCGTGCACGCCGTTGATGAGGTTGTCCGCCGAGGACAGCGGGTGTCCGTCGTCCTGCGGGTGGTACAGGTGGCCGTAGTGCGGCGAGGCGCCGGCGCTGCGGTTGCTGCGGTAGTAGTGGTCGGGGTGGGCGGGGTGCGCGGGCTGCTGGTGCCACAGGGTGCCCAGCTCGTCGCCAGGGTACCAGGCCACGTCCGTCATCTCCTTGGGGAACGTGCGGTGGCTGAACCTCGACGAGTAGAGGTGGTCGCCGTCTAGGCTCACGTTGCCGTCGCTCGCGACGCGGTGCTTGGCGCGGGCCGCGACCCCGCCGCCGCCGCCGCCGCGCCAGGGGTGCCCCAGCGTCGCCGAGCCGTCCAGGATGCAGTCCTCGCCGGCGACGCCCCGGCGCTGCGAGCGGCGCCGGCCCGCCGGCGCCCCGGGCAGCCCCGGCAGCTCGGCCAGGGTCGCGTCGTCCAGCGAGTCCACCAGGGCCTTGACGACGTCCTGCTGCGAGGACGCCCGGTGCTGGCCGGCGTGCGGGCCCGGCGACGAGGCGGTGGGCCGGCGGCGCGACGCCTGGCTGCGCGTCACGGGCCGGCGGCCCAGCCCGTCCGGGGACTGCACCATCCCGTCGAGCGAGTAGGGGCTGCGCCGTGGGGACGGGCTCAGGCCCTGGCTCATGCGCCTGCAACAGAGAGACGGGCCGGCGTCAGGGCGGCAACTCAACACACTACTGCAAGAGGAACGACACAAAAACCCAAGACTTGTTGAGATGGTAAAACCGCGTGGGCGCAGTGAGCGAACATTACTATATACATTACTGACGATCCGTGGAACTTTGGTATGTTGCCATAGGCGGCCAGATTGTTAAACCGTGCAAAAAGAGCCAACCACTTTCTTTTCCGGGGCATTCAGCGTCACGATATTCACAAAACTATCGCTGCGCTGCACTCACGGCGCACGACAGACGTGCATATGGCATAAAACACGGAACAGGTGGAGATTTAACTGGGGACACGAGTTTAGAGGTATAAAAGGGCAAGTGAGTCGCTCGGTCGGCACTTCAGTCAGCCTGCCACAACCAAGCAGACCGGCGAGATGGCCCGCATCATAACCAGCCTTCTACTGCTTGCTCTGGTGGTAAGTACCAAGGACGAAAAATTGACTGTGTGCCAACGAGACAAATGAGAGAGAAATCACGTGGAAAACTGTAATTTTCAGGCTGTAGCCATCCAGGCAGCACCTCGCCAGACGCCAGAGAAAGAGGGCGGACTTTCGCCCGATGTGATAAGGCACATTGCTAAAAGCGAGATTCCCACTTCTAAAGGGAGGTACCAGCTCGACGTTGTGAGGCGGCCTAAGCGCGCAGTTCTTCCTCCTCAGCCCAAGCCTCAGCCACCGAGGAACACCCGTGCTGTCCCTCCTCCTCCTCCTC